CCCCCCCCCCGATTTTCGCTTCGAGGCTGCTTCTCTTCATGCGCAGCTGGGCGACGCCTGTTGGGCCGTGGCTGCTTCGCTCTGAGCCGACGCGCGTCGACTTTAGCTGTATCCTCAGGTCGACGACCGAGCGTGCTCCTTTTTTTCCAAAATCTAGAATAAATTGAATCTTGCCCCATCTGGACCCCGCGCGGAGGCCAGGACCGGTCATCTGCAAATCACGCGGTGGTGTGCCTGGCTGCCCATCGGAAATTTTGCAGCCCCCGGTCTGAGAAGAGGCTACTGTAGGCTGTGGCTGCACATGCATGCATACACCCGGTCGCGACCCGTCCGCATCCCCACTCGGAGCACGAACGGTGGCGCTGCATGGCGTGCCCGCACCAAGTCCTTATCGCGCGCCGCACTTCACCCCTCTCGCAGCCCCCATTGGCGAATCGTTTGCACGATCGTACTGTGCGGCCACACCAACGCCACCTCTGCACAGCCTCGGCATGGCCTGGCTCATCGTTCCGTCGATCCGGGTGAAGGCAGTTGACCAAGGCGGTGGAGGGTAAGGGAAGCAGCACAGCTGGGGGTCAGTCAATGCAGGTTAGAGTCGAGATCGGCCCTCTTTGCGGCAACGCACCCCGCATCGATGTGCGCAAGCCCTCCAAAAGGGGTGGGGCTTGCTCCGAGAGCCGTGTGAAATGTCACAATCAGGCCGTTTGGCAAGACCTCGCCTGCCGAGCCGCCACCTCGCTACGAGCCTTCCGGTGCAGCCAGCTGTCAAGGTTTTGGCGAGTGCGGCCAGCGACACAAATCTAGCGTGTGAAATCTTGCCACTAGCACACGGCGAGCCGTTCTTCCACCCAGCCCACAAAGCAAAACGTGCGCACACGCCCCCGAGATAGCGAGGCGAACCATATGTGAAATGAGCGTGCAAACATCACCAGCGAAGCGGGAGCGAGCATCCAGACGGCGCGCCAGGAGCTCTGCTCGTGATTGGCAGCAGACTGGACCGATAGCAGCCGACCTCGGCCTGTCTCAGCGTCACTTCCTCGATGCGCTTGTTGAGCGGATGGTCAACGTCGGGTTGCATCCGCACCTCGTCGCCTTTTCAAGCTCCGTGGGCCCACATTGCCGAAGAGCATGAAGCGACTCAAATCCCGTGATTTGGGTCTAACATCTGTCCATCGAATCCTGCCTTCGGAGCAGTCACCTCCGAAAGCTTCCGAATCACGCACAAGGCATCTGCTCTCCGGTTCGTGGAGCACTCCGCGTAGCCGGTTGGTTCTGGCTCGTCCCCTCCATCAAGGCGCCTGGCGTGACACCGTCCACTTCATCCGCTTCGCGATGCAGAGGTGCAGCAAGCTTCGCACGTTCTCGTTCCGTTGGTCCATACAAAACCCCATCGTTGAGCGCGGGGTTAGAAGTCCTGAGCAGGTCGGGCTCGGGCATTTGGCACGCCGATCCGATCGGCTTACCCCGTACCCTCTTCCCGCTCTGCAGAAACAAACACCGTCCACCGGCGAACTCACGCCTGCGGTCACTTGCACGCCGGCAATCCTCGCCTGCCTAGGCCTGACGCGAGCTTCCAGACTCGTCTCGGCAATCTCGCCCGCTGCCAGACCTGCTGCGGGACCAACGCCTGTACACCGCATGTCGCCGAACGACGCTCGAGACATGGCTTGCATGAGGCATTGCTCCCCACCGCAATGACGAATCAAAGATTGCCGAACACGCTCGCGCTGATGACAACGTGGCAACAGCCCAAGCACATGGACAAGGTCTGATCAGCTTCGACCGAGCCATCGGCGTTTACCGCCGCTACCTCCTTCCCAAGCGGGGCTCCACAAGGCTCAAGCGCCACTGACCACGGTCGAGGGTGATGGACACGCCGAGCTTTACCTCTTCCTCTGGTCGCTGTTGCAAGAGTGCAGTGCAGTGCTCACGGGAACACCCGACGGCATCATTGAGCCAGATTCGCGGTCTATCGTCTTGGGAGGGTAAGGCTCTGCAAGTTGGACGAGATCAATGAGCCCAACGACCCGGAACAGTCAGCTGCAGACGTGGACATGCGCCATCCGCGTCCGAGTAGTATCTATACGCTATGCTGATTGTTCCGCCCGAGTCAAGGTCGTATGGAGTAGTGGTCAACTTAGGAGATTTTGAAACAGGCGACGAGCTTCGTTGCCTTTCCTTTAAATTTCTCTTGCCCCGGGTTCGAATCCCGGTATGACCTGCAGTCGTCACGATGCCATTTTTGCCAAATTTTTGGCACCGATTAAATGCCAACGGCCCTTTTTCTTGGCTTTGGGAGCATGGATTTCTCAACACCGTCCATTCCAAATCGGCCCGACGTCGTAATCTATGTACTGTCGTCCCCGCCGCCCTTTCTTGTGAACAGAGCTCAAAGCACGACAGGAGTAGTCGAATGGGGGGCATTTTGAGGCTGACTGGATCAAGGATTGCACTCGAAACTAGGTATATACATCGAAGCGCACGAAGGGTATCGTTGGTCGTCACAAGAGGTTGCTTATACAGCCTCAGAACCTTTTGTAAGCAGGAAGCGGATCAAAATCATGGAGGAGCGGCGCTGAGCGTCGGCTGCTTGCGGCGTCCGAGTCATGGGTATGCGCGAGCGACTTTTTTTCCACCTCGAGGAGCGATTCCAGTGTGAAGGTGCAAATGCACGGAAAGGCAGAAGGGTCGGTCTGCCTGTCATGCAGAGCGTCCAGCTGAGCTACCTTCTCGCGGATACACGCGACAGGCATCGGATCCTCGCATGCATACGACGGCAGGTTGAGCGAGTCTGGCCTGCAGGCACACGAGTTGAGCACGACCGGGATCGAAACGTGGAAGCGCTTCATCTTTTGCCCATCCACGTAGATGAGCTCGTCAGTCTCGTGGGACTCGTTGCCGGGAGGGCGGAATTCTCCATCGATAAAGTCGATCTCGTAGCTGATGAAGCTGCGAAAGCGGATCGCGGCATCGTTCCCGTCCACCGTCGAGGGTCGGATTTTCTTGTCGTCCGGAAGACGCGAGACGACTTCCAGCGATGGGTAGCATTCACCTTCGGGCGACACGCCTTCGCCTCCGCCCTGAAGCTTTTTGGTGCGGAAGAGCTCCTCGATCTGGCGACGGTCGAGATCCAGAAATCGCTCCTTCCGCGGCTTGACCGTCTCGACGTATCCCGGACGTTGACTTCGAGAGCTGAGAGTAGCACGTTGCTCGACAAATGCCCTTAGTCCGACGATTCGAACACCATCCAGCGGGCTGAGCAGGTCAAAGTTGGTTCGCAGGTAGCCTCCGACGGTGAAGACCTCGGAGCGGTTGCGTAGGCTGAAAGGTCCGATTCCGTCGGCATGCGTGCGCACGTCCTTGTCCCAAACGATCATCTCGTTGCCTTCATCGCTCTTGCAGTCGACAAAGTAGACCTTTTTCGTGGCGGTCAACGACCTGGAAAGGAGGCCGTGGAACGTCGCCTTGGCGACAAGCTTCTGATTATTGGCACCCAGGCTGCTTCGCTGAAAGGGGGCTGCGTTGTGATCGACCAGGAAGCTGCGTTCAAATCTGTATGTCTTCCCCGGCTCAAAGTAGTCGAGGTCGAGCACTTCGTCGATCGACTTCTCGTCGTGAAATGTGCGATTCATCTCGAATGCGCCGCTCGGGAACGATATGCTTTCGTTCCCTGTCAAAGTGAGTGTGAGGCTCTTGAGTCGATTGCGGATGCGGGAGGCTGAGGCCAAGGACGACGAGCTCGGCAGCGGGAAGCGAATATCGACGTAGGCGTACAGCACAGCATGGTCGTCGTTCGATAGGTTTGTCGACGAGAAAACATCTCCGTCGTCCAACTCGCTGTAGGCCGGCGATTCTCCCGTATTCTGGATCACCGTGGATGGAGACAGTGAGCCGAGCGCAGAATCGATGGGTGAAGAAGTGATGTCTGACGATCGCTGGCGTTGTCGCTTTGTGGGGAACAGAAACACGTCGGTGGAATGAACGTCCACCGAGAGCTCCATGTTGGCGCTCGACAAGGTAGGAGAAATCAGCGGCGCTGACCTGTTTTGCCAGCGCTTGCTCTGGAGAATGCAACGGCGGAATAGGTCGATATGTGGCGACGTCAAAGTGACGAGCAGAGAGAAGTCGGCTGACGGGTCCTCAGAGGTGCTATAGAGAGGAAGAGGAGGGCGAGGGGTGAGGGACACTTCGATAGTAAGCAATAAGTTTTTGACGAGCGACCAGCAACACCAAAGGAGCTACATATATAGCACACGAAGAAAGTGTCTAGTGGGCGACGAACATCTGCGGCTAGGGCCTCCGCTGTCAGGCGCGGTTCCGCGGGATCGAGTCGGGGAGCAGATCGGAGGGTGGGGCTCAAGGAGACTTGTGACATTTGCTCTGCGGAAGAACGTGCGAATGTTTGGAAGGCGCCTAGTGAGAGGCTCTGTGCTGCGGAACGTCATGTCAATGAGCGCGGATCGCAGAAGCAGACGCGTGGCGGCATGACTCGGAGTCCTTGGTACAAAGGACGCTTGGGCCCTTCAATATTTCGCCGAACCAGCTTGGATTCCAGGAAGCCGATAGAACCCCATACAAGGAAGCGCCTGATTACGGCTGCAACACATAGATCGCAAGTAGCACATCGCCGAGCGCACAGGCACGTGGAAGGATTCAAATAACATGCGGCAGATGGAGTTTGCCGCTGTGGCCCGGGAAGAGACCGTTCTAGTCGGCTGTAGGCATCACGTCGTTCTGATGGAGGTTCGCCCATGCCGGATCTCCAACGGAGGCGGAGATAGACGAGCGGTACGCGAGCCTGTCTTCTGCCACTCACCGTACAGGGTCCAAGGATCCCGCCAAACGACTGCAGCGGGAGAAGAAGCCGAGAGACGGTTGCGGAAGGAAGCGCGGCCTGGTCAGGGCCGACGGGGCTCACACAGGCCGAGAAGGAATGAGTAGACGAGCGATGATGGAGCAAGCGAGTCATCATCTCGGCTAGATCAAGGCGACACTGCCGGGGCGAAGGGATGACTCGCGCCATTTCCAGGAGCTTTCAGCGGCGCTTGGACGAGAAGCGATCCAAATAACCAAGGCGGAGACCCAAATCGTGGCGGCGCTTGACGGCGAAATGTGACGTGGACACGAGGGCCAGTCCGCGGGGAGCAGTGCCGAGCTGCCCGTCCGTTGTGGGCGCGTGGCTGTCCTACCGCAGGAGATACTCCGCAGCCAGCATACGGCATGAAGCTGCACTTGCCGTGCTTGGCAGCGCTATTCAACCGGTGCCTTCACAACGTCGCTCGTGATGCCGCTAGCTCATCGCGACTTCACGAGCTCAGCGGCTACTGCAGAGTGCACGCACAACAAGCTTGAGCTCCATGTCCTTTCCCAGAAGCGAATGCTCGGCTCATATCCATGATACTTGCAATGGTTGCAGAACGAGAAGCGCAGCGGGGTGGGGTCGGCCTTCAAACCGGGCAATAATCGCATCCATTTTTTTTTTTTTT